CCCAGCCACTGGTGCAGGCAGCTTGGCCTACCCGACACTGGATTCCGCGCCGACAACTTCAACTTCACCTCCGTTCACTCGTGCCCAGCCACCCCCATTCACATGCACACGCCGACATGACACATGCATCCACGACAGCGCAGGCCGCTTTTCACACTTTTCCAGTCGCCCGGTTCCTGCTCGTCTGTTCGGCCGACTCGCAAAGCTGCATTAGTCGCAACCCGCAAGATGCTAACCTCCTCCGGTATCACCTCCTGCCCACCTGCCCTCCCGTCTGTCCTCGTCTCCCTCACTTTGCTTTCCCACCATTTTATTTGTTTATTCGTCTTGTGCTCGAGGCTCGTCTCCTTTGTTGCTTGGCCAGGCAGGCTCGCGCTCTGCGCTTATTAAAGCCTTAGATTGGGATATCCTTTAGAACGCGGACTTTGCGCAATAAACTTCAGGTCGGACGGGTATAGCTGCAAAGGAAGTCAACAACAACCTTGCGTCTGCCTTAGAAGAGGCAAAACAACCATCGATCGTGGGCATTGGCAAGACGACGAGTAAGGCAGGAAAAGATTAAGCACAAGATCTGCTTGGCAGCCGGTATTGAAAACAGAATAAGGTGCCGAGCTTTATCAAGTAGTGGGATCAGAATAGAGGCAAACGGAGGGCAAATATGACATCAACACGGGACGCTGTGCTGAGGAAAAGAAAAATAAGGGTTGTGAGACTCGGTTACCAACAGCAGACTGTCGTGGAGATAAGACACGAAAGGTTAAAACACACAGATTGTCGAGTTGAGGGCGGGAGAAGAGACGCAAAAGCACTGGTTTGTAGATTAGATTGGATTGGATTGGAGTATATTGCAACCCATGAATGGACAGGTGAGAAAAGTGGAAGGGAGTCCCAGAGCGGTTGTTGGGTGAGGAGTTGGTAGACGAACAATTTCGTCGACAGGGAAATGAGAACTCGGAACAGAGAAGACTAAAGGGTATGAAGAAGAACTGGGTTTCGATGAATTCCTCAGTGATAAATTGTGATATGACACTCTGTTTCAAGCGAAAATTTGATTGGAACTAATTCGTGATGTGATCTCACCGGAAACCGAAGCAGACTTGACGCGTAGGGAAAGAAGTCCTTCGTATGATGGTGAGTTGAGGACTTGTTTACCTACCAGAAAAGTCTTTCCTATGCGAAATACTCCCTCGGTTGCTGGTGAGACCACATCACTGATTCCTCCAAACCAACGCTTGTTGTCATGTCACAAGACGAAATAATGTTTAATGATAGAGTCGGCCCAGTCATTCAAGAGAATCATATCCCTTCTCCAAACCGACGATCTCTAAACGACGTCGACCCAAGTGGCCCAACAGATTTGGGGTTCTGCCAGCTCTGATCTGTCTCCTTGTTTGTCAATGCAATAATTTATTGTGGTATTGTTTCCTTCTGAAATCCTCAGTATCCCAAAAATTATTATTGGAAATATTGAATGAAGAGCCTGTGAGCAAATGCCCATTGCAAGCCTCCCGCTAATCCGTCTCTGATCATATCCCAGAAAGGTACACTAATTCGCACTTCTCGGACGTGAAGTTGCAA